CACACACACACATATATATATATATATATATATATATATATATATATATATATATATATATTAGTATACAAGAGTATGCAAAAGTATACTTTTTAGTTTATAATAATTATTATTCATGTATTTCAAGCATACTATACCCAATCCAACCCAATTCAAGCACACTATACCCATTCTGAATACATACTCTTATATACATTTCTGGAGAGCACCAAATACGTCCCAGGAGGTACGGTTTTTTTGCAGTTTTTGTTTTCGTAAATCTGCAAGAGGCCGCTGTGTGCACTTATTAAGATCTCAAATTTATCTTGCGATTGCCATTCGCACCTGCTGTTTTCACCTAAATCCACCAGAGGCTGCTGTCGACTGACCAACTGACTGACCGATCGACTGACCCACTCTCCTTCATCCCTAAACCAAACCAACAGTGTTTTCAAAAGCACCGATTGACCCGTCCACCCACGTCCCTAAACCCAACCGACAGTGTTTTGAAAAGCAATCCAGAAAAAGAAAAGCCGGTCAACTCTGCTCTATGTCTCAAGTCTACCAGCATATCTGGCAAGCCACTAGATCAGTGGTTCTCAAAATGTTTTCATCAAGTACCACCTCCGAAAAAAATTGTCTCTCCAAGTACCACCAAAATGAGCAGCATTGAAATACAGTAGTGTGGTAGGCCCAGTAAAGCAGCTACAACTCTGCACAGTAAAACAAACGTTGCAGATGACCTCAGAAATATAGGCTATATGTCATATATGGCACATTATATACATAAATTTTGATACATTTTGAAATATATGTAGCATGTACATGACATATTTCATTCCTCCGTGTACCACTAGAAGGAAGCCTGCGTACCACTAGTATTACACGTACCACAGTTTGAGAACCACTGGACAGACACTGGACCCTGCACTAGACACACAGAGGTAAGCGGTCAGCTGGTAAGCGAAAAATAAAACCGCATCATACCGCCCCGTTGCGTTTTTTTTTAAAGATGAAATGCAGCCATATGTTGCTCTGGCTACATAACTCATGATCTCCAGAAATGTATATAGGGCTACGATTTCAGAATGAGCCTATGTTGACTCTACCTTTGAATTCAGCTAAAGATTGTATTCGGCTACCATAGTAGGAAAAAACCTATGGAAGTCAGTGACTACTTGTTTCCAACATTCTTCAAAATATCTGCTAGGAAAAAAAGTGGAGAGAAAATAAATGAGAGATCTTTCAATCTTTTGATTTTCATTTTAAATGCTTTGCAGGTAGACAGCTCTCACAAGTTTTAAAACAGAACAGAGGTGTTTCATGAAAAACAGGAAGACAGAAGAGATTATTTTTAGCCGCTGACCCCAGAACTGCCGTCTGCTCGACTCACAGCCGGTTCAGAACCACTGCCTGGGTTTTCAAGCCAGAACAATTACTGGAAGTTGCACACAGTATTATAGACTGACACCAGTGTCAAACAAACACAGTACTCTAGCGGTTACCAAACAGCCATCCATCACGCTTTCAGCAGCTCCCTTTACTGGAATACACACTACACAAAGCTCTTTTTAACAAAATAGATGTTAACAAAAATGTCTACACTTTCTTAAATGAAGACACTAAAATGTCCAAAAGGGCTCCTATTTTACCCCTTTTACAAGATGAGTAGTGTCTCCAGAAAGTGTCTGTAAAGTTTCAGCTCAAAATACCCATCGGATCATTTATTATACCCTGCTGAATATGTACATTTTGGAGTAAGATTACATTGCTGTTTTGTTACATGTGCCTTTAAATGCAAATGAGCTGGTTCACCCCGCCCGTCTGCTTCTCCTGCGCTACGTCAGATAAACAGCAGTCAGTGACAGACGCGAAGGAAGCAGAGATTCAGTTTATCAGAAATACCACAGTAAGAACTTTCCCAGTGGTTATTTGATGTATTTGTGGTGGAGTTCATTTCTTTCTGCAATGATAAGTCACACACAACGTCGTTTCAAAATTCGCTGAAACACACACGTTTAACTTTGCACGTTTTTTGCACGGCAAATGTGACAGAATACACGTTCAAATCCACTGCTGTATGGAAATCTGTTATGTTCATGTACAAATTAGCCAGATTTAACGTCCACAAACAGGGATTGAAGCATCATCTTTTATAATTGTACTGAGAGTTGGCTGTGGTGATGAATTACAGCAATTTTACTGTATTTATTACAAACATGCACTGTTTTAAAAACAATTTAAACTTGTTAATCTCTTGTCGCGCAGATGATCACAGAGAGTTAAACAGATCTTTTATCACAGTTGCTTTGTGCAAGTCCTTACTTGTGGATACGTTTATATGTCTTACTATGGAGACATGCTAATACGCAGCTGTCAATCATCTTATAAGAGCATGTTATATTTAAAAAGGGAAAATACTAAACTCGGTCAAGTTATAATAATCAAAATAATCGATTACTTAGATTGCCTTATATGCACTGAATTTATATTGTATAGTGATTATATGCATATAGTTTTTCCAGTAAGCTTTTTGTTTTTCTATTGTTACGAGTAGTTGTAGTGTAGTGTAGGCTTGTGTGTGTGTGTGTGGTGTTTCTCTCTTTCTCTCATGCTCACTCTCTCTCTTTCTCGCTTTTAAGTATTCGCAGGTGTAGCGGATAACGTTGGGACGGATCATGATTGGCGCTTGGACTGGCGGCGGCTGTATGTAAACCTGCAGAGAAGATGGGTTCGATGGCTCCCCGCTCTCTCTCGATTTTCCCGCCTGTACTCAGTGGAGAAAGTGATCCAATGAGTGTTTGCTTGTATCTCTTTGTGGCGTTTTTGTGAGATGCCGTTGTGATCATTTTTAACCGACGATTGAAGTCCGGTTTTCTGTCTTCCTGTCATGCTTGGAGCATGGTAGGGAGGTTTGGTGCCTTTTTATTTGTTATTTTCGTTCTGCATTTTATTTTATTATTTGTTTTCTAAGGAAGTTTAATCTAATTTAGTTAGCTTGGTTTATTGTCATTTATTTTGGCTGAACCCTTCGTGATGTTATTTTTGCTCCTTATTTCTGTAAATAAATCATGTTTTCTTGTTAATTCTCAGTGGTTGTGTTTTTGGTTCATATTTTGGGGAGAGAGATCGCGGGAGCAGCAGGGATTATATTTTAAATCCATGTTATTTTGTTACATTTTGGTTAAATCTCTTTTTGATTGAGGAATTTTAATTTAATTTGTAACAATATGCATTCTTTAAATAGTAAATGTAGTCAAACTTAAAATGTAGTTCGTTTTTTTTGTTGAATAATTGTCTGTCAATTATTATAACTTCTAGTTTAGCATTTTCTTTATATAAATATACACAACACTTCTGTCTGTTTCTTGAATCTGATTGGCTGACAGCCGTGTGATATTCTGCAATATCAGCACTCGTACAGCCTCTTCACCCTTCTGTATTACTCCGCCCACATAAAGTGACAGCAAATCAATAAACTCACTACAGGTTGACAAATATTGCAGCTGTTGGACAGCATAATGTTAATTTTTAGGTGTGAATGTAGTTGGTTAGATTGCAACTATGCAGTTTATTTATAAGAATAGTGACTATTTTAAATGTTTATAATTTCAGAGCTACATCATGTCAGCATTTATCAGCACGTCATACTGAGCAGGACAAAGACGGTTCACGTTACACCACAAGATGGCAGCAGAGAACACATAATAGGCCCATATGGGAGAAAAACTCAAATTGAAACTACAGCTGATCAAATCATTATTAAACAGGTAAGTGACATTCTAAGTCGATCTCTCTCTGTTGTATGTTGTAGTGCTGTATTTATACCACAGAAATCTGCAAGTGTTTCCTTTGCTTTGGCTTTTTTAGGGTTAATTATTGTGATCTCCCGATTGCAGCAGAGAAATACTGGGAAATCTCTATAGACTGATGGCATTTCATGCTGTTCAGCCTTATAATCTTAAAAAAATAGCAAAATCAGCTGTTTTGTCTTCAGTTTAGACATTACGCTACAAATTCTAGCACTAAAGTGACGTTGGTGAATTAGTATCGGCGTCAGCTGAAGATGTGAATGAACAGCGGAAGAAAGTAGTTCCTCATACAAAAGGATTTGTAGACTCTCCATGTTATATTTTCTTCTTTATATACACAATTGTGCCTTCGAACTGTTGTATAAACACAATATCACACTCAATAAGGCTGTATATCGTCACTGGTGGGAATTTAAAAGCAAATATTGTGCAAAAGTCTCATGGATACAACTAAATCTTGATTTAAAGGCACAGTTCACCCAAAAGTTAAAATTCTGTCATCATTTACCTTGCTTATACTTGTTCTAAACCTGTTCAAGTTTGTTTGTTCTCTGTTGGACACAAAAGATGATTATTTAGTAAAATGTTGGAAACCGGTAACCATTGACTTTCATGGTATTTTCTTACTACAGTAGTCAATGGCTGCTTTTCTCTAACATTCTTCAAAATATCATCAGAAGAAACAGAAGTTTAGCAGAAGAAAAAAAACAGAAGTTCAACTGAAGAAAAAAAAAAAACCCAACTAAAATTGGATCAGAACAAGTCAAGAATAAGTAAATTATGTTTTTATTTTTGGGTGAACTGTCCCTTTAAGAACGGTCAGATATTTATACTGGAAGCAACAAAAGCACTTGAATAAGAGCATTCTCCTCTGCTCAGCCTGATTGGACACGGTCCGTCTTTCTGGAGCACGAATGGCTGTGGGGTTTGAGTAATGCTGAAGTAATAAATGCACACCTTGTCTGCGGAGACGGTGAACTTCTGGAGCTGAATGTGGAGCGGTGGGTGGCCGCTGGACTCGCTGTAAAACCAGACACAGGGCCTCTATTTAGCATACAGCTTTAATATGCATGTGTGCAGAAAAAGCACTGATGCGACTGAGCTAAATGTCACCTTTCAGTCTGCTGTTTTTCAGGGATGTCGCTGATACAGGAACGGCCTGCGTCTCCACTGTCAGGAGGCTTTCTGGAGCTCTCCACATCTCTGACAATCTGAGAAGACAAATCAGAGTCACTTACAGTTGAAGTCAAGAGTTGTCAGCCCACCTGTATATTTATTCCCTAAGATTTTTTCAACACATTTCTAGTTTGCATTTTCTCCCTGCATTTTCTCCGGGTGCTCCGGTTTCCCTCACAGTCCAAAGACATGCGGTACAGATGAATTGGTTAGGCTAAATTCTTCATAGTGTATGAGTGTGAATGAATGTGTATGGATGTTTCCCAGAGATGGGTTGCGGCTGAAAGGGCTTCTGCTGCGTAAAAACATGGTGGATAAGTTGCCGGTTAGAGACTGATTTAACGCTGCCGCCATTTTCAAAAGCGAAATCGAGGCTGCAGTAGGAGGAAACCCGGAAGTAGCATAGGGAGTTACATAGGAATGTTGTGTAACTGGCTGTATATCTCATCAGCGAAGATAAAGTGACACAAATTTATAATTTCTCCGCCTTCCGGGTGACCCGAAGGTCTGTTCTGAATGAATGGTGAATGTAAAAAGGGATATCAGAGCTCATTTTCAGCTAAGTTAAGGGAAATGGCTCTAGTTAGCTGACGTTTTCTTTCCCAAACACACGTTTTAGATTCCATTTATCAAACTCAGGTTAATAAACTGATTCTTTCCCTATCATAGACTTGTCACGATACTGAATTAAAAGAAAAACCAGCAATTTCGCGCTAACATCTAAAGGGAAATTACACCCCCCACTTTCGGTTAAAGTCTACTTCAGAATTTTTTCAAAAGATGCATGATTAATGGGCGTGGAGCTCCGCCAGCATCGGGCAGGAGTGGGCGTGGCCAGCAGGGGAGAAGGGGAGCGAATAACTGCTGTTGACAGTTAGCTCACAAATTGAGACAAACCGTGAATAGACGCATGAGTTTATAGTTTACAAAGTTAAAATGCAAAGAAATAAACAGTAATTTAATGCCCTGCTACTTTTGTTATTCGTAATTTCATACACACATAACCACAATTTATATCATTATAAAGATAAGTGTGTTCATGTAAACACTATAAATGAGGATTCTCCCTCAATCCCCAGGTCTGAATTATAAGTCTGAATGCAGACTCGGCGCAGCAGGTCTCCTGACCTGTCTATTTTAACCATTATCCCTGCTGGTAATATAGAGGATTTAGGCAAACACAGCAGCACGGCGATGTGTCTAAATGTGAACGAACTCCTGATAAAAGTCAACGTCCGCCATTCTTCAATTCACGTACTGCTCTCCTGACAAAAATGCTTGCAGCACACACACAGCTTTGCTGTATGATCAGCCCTGACAGGACCGCGGGGAAAAAACATGCAACAAACCCCGTGCATCATAGAAACAAACACATACGAGCCTTCATGAACGGCTACTGCGTGCCGTTGGTCCGTGTCTCACAGCTTGCTTGAAACTGGCAGGTCTGCCTTCGGAAAGCACGTGCTCTCATGAATAATTAAGCAGCCGGCTCTTCTCATAGGATAAGAAAACTCCGCTATGAATAATAATGAGAAACCGACGTGTCATCATTGCACTTGCAGTTCTGCGCTACGTCGCCGATTTTGATCTGCCCCAAAACTCATTTTAAACCCGGAAGCTGAAATTAGCTGACAAAAGCTCAAAATTATCCAGTTTTCCCCACAATTAAAGCTGACAGGTGCTAACATTGTCTTAACTGATGCTCAACACACACACATCTGTTAATATAAAAAAAAAAAGTTCTCCAGGGTGTCCTGAACCTTTAAGGCACTGTTGATGGCTTTGTTAAAGCAGCGCTGATTTGCCATTGTGGTCAAGTGCTCAACAGAAATGCTTGTGATTGGCCGAGAAGGTCATCAGTTCACCCACCGCTGTTTACTGAGCACAAACACAGACGAGTCGAGCGATCTGCTTGATGACTCGGCTGATCTTGATGGCTGCTTCACGCTCCAGTCCGTGTATCTGTGTTTGCACTGGGTGAAGGGCAGTAAACTGAGTGCAAACCAAACACAGATACACGGAGACTGGAGCACGAAGCAGCCGTCAAGATCAGTCGAGTCACCAGTACCGGGACAACACTACTACAGACAACACGAGGGTGTGCTGCAGAGGACTGTAGTGTTTTATCACTCACCGAGGTACATAGACTGAAGCAGGAAAGCATCCTCACGGTGTTTAACTGGTGCCATGAACTGAAGCCTAGGAGGACACTTGAGCATATCACTGAGATTGGGATCTTGTTTGATGCTAAATTGCTTTTAATTGTTTAAATTAAACTTACTGAATAATATTAAAGTGATGGTTACACCATTTCTGAATTTTGAAGTCTCGGCAACAGCTGGAGGTTTGTAGTACACAGCATGTTGCAGCGATGTTTACAGTGCTGGTCCTATACTTCCGGGTTTCTTCCCACCGCAGCCTCGCTTTAGTTCTTTAAAATGGCCGCGTGAAATAAGCGTATTCCACTGTGACGACCCCGGATTGATAAAGGGACTAAGCAGACAAGAAAATAAATGAATGAATACATTTACTTAACAACACACTTGCCAATTTGCACATAACAGTTGCACATATAACGTTTTACATAGCAATATAGCACTACATACACTTGTCTATTTGTATATTTGCATTCACCACTTACTGCTTTTTTATATATTTATTATCTGTTTATCATCCTGTCTCTGTAATTCTGTTGCACTGTAGAAGCTCTGTCACCAAAACAAATTCCTCGTATGTGTGAACATACCTGGCCATAAAGCTTTTTCTGATCCCGATTCTAAATTGGCCACAGTGTATGAGTGTGTCATAATGTGAGTGTGTATGAGTGTTTCCCTGTACTGGGTTTCAGTTGGAAGGGCATTCTTTGTGTAAAACATTTGCTGGATAAGTTGGCGGTTCATTCCGCTGTGGGACCCCTGATGAATAAAGGGACTAACCCTGCTGAAAAATCCAGCTTAAACCAGCCTAGGATGGTTGGCTGGTTTTAGCTGGTCAACCAGCCTGGTTTTAGAGGGGTTTTGACCATTTCCAGGCTGGTTTCCAGCCATTTCCAGCCTGGTCTTAGCTGGTCAGGCTGGAAAATGACCAACCAAATCCAGCTAAAACCAGCTTGACCAGCCTGGTTTAAGCTGGATATAGCTGGTT